TTTTTGGTTGTTGTTGTTGTTTATTTTTAATGTATTTGGTACAGGGTCTCACTACCCAGCTCAGACTCATAGTGATTCTCCTGTTTTCAGCCCTCCCAGGACTGGGATTATAGGCGTGCGCCACTATGCCAGGTCTCAGTGGCTGGCTCAGTGTGCCCTGGGGGCAGGGCCGGCATGGCATGTGGTGCCCAGGATCGAGCCCCCATCCCCAGGCTTGCCTAAGCAAGCATTTAGTCTACTGAGCTATCCCGCCAACCCTTAGGGCAATAATTATGATAATCTCCAATTTTCTTTTTCATCTTTTATTTATTTATTTTGGTACAGAGTCTTGCTACACAGCTTGGACTCATAGTGATCCTCCTATCTCAGCCTCCCCAGCACTGGGATTAAGGCCAGGACATTAGACAGCTGAGCTATCTTCCCAGCCCATAATTCCCTATTTTTATGTAATAGTCAATGTCTATTTAAAGAAACATTTGGTTTGGTTTTTTTTTTTTTTTTAGAAGAGAGAACATTTATTCATGAACTTGTTGGGGATGGCACAGTGGAAGCCTTCAGGAGTGCAGGGCTCGCCACTTGTCCAGGGGACCGCGGTTTGGGATGTATTTCACCCCACAGCCATCAGGGATGAGGCGCTTCTCGGCCACCATGTCTTCAAATTCATCCGCAGTGAATTTGGTGAAGCCCCACTTTTTGGAAATGTGGATCTTCTGGCGGCCAGGGAACTTAAACTTGGCCCTGCGTAGGGCCTCGATCACATGCTCCTTGTTCTGCAGCTTGGTGCGGATGGACATGATGACCTGCCCAATGTGGACCCTTGCCACTGTGCCCTGGGGCTTCCCAAAGGTACCCCGCATGCCAGTCTGGAGCCTGTCAGCCCCAGCACAGGACAACATCTTGTTGATGCGGATGACATGGAAAGGGTGGAGCCGCACCCAGATATGGAAGCCATCTTTGCCACAGCTTTTTACCATGTACTTGTTGGCACAAATCCGGGCAGCTTCCAGGGCTTCCGAGGAGAGCTGCTCATACTCATCAGACACCAGGTGGCCGCAGAGCGGGAACTCATCCACTTTTGCTTTCTTCCACCCCAGGTCAAAGACGTGAATCTTGGCATCAGGGACACCTCGGCAGAAGTGGGACTTTGGGTACGGCTTGTTCTTACAGTACCGGTAACACCGGGCGGGACGACATCCCATGGCGACACCAAAGGTCTTCGAAGGTGCACCGAAGGAAAAGAGTGGTCTGGGGGTTTAACTTGGTATTAAAGTTTGTATTTGAAAAAAAAGTTTGTATTTAGCATGGGCCAATCTCTGGGTTCCCCAGCAATAAATATAAAATAATTTATGAGAGTCTACTATGTATCAGATGTCCGTACTAAACTCTGGAGAACACAAAAATGACTGCCTGCTTTGGAGAAGCCTAGAATCTGATGCTAGATTCCCTACCAAGCTTCAAGGCATCATACCAAGTGCTTCCCTCTACGGGGCCAGCATGTAATTCTCCCATACTCCCCAAACTGAGATCATGGTGATTAATAGGATCGAACAAATTCTTTTGGGCTCATAGACTGAGCCAAAAAAAAAAGAGTTAGGAGGTAGTGGAGACACCTGAAAAGACAGAGAAAGAGAATCCACTGCCTCTGAACCAACCACCTTCTAGTCCAGACTCCCGCTCTAAGATCTGTTTCTGGGTTTCTTCAATTTCTTCAAGTATCATATTTTCCATAGTACCTCAATTAGGGCATTATCCGCCTTTAGACCCTACTTCCTAATTTGTAGACAGACCCAACCCATCTGAATACAAAATACTGCACTGGTGAACAAATCCAGCCTACCTGACTGCAGGGTGGTATTGTCCCCAGAACACGGTGATTCACAAGTTAACACTGACAGGCGTGTGTGCCTGTGACTTAGGCTAAGTTTATTACAACCTTTCCCCAAGACATTTTCTGAGTGGAACTGTTATAAAGTTGGACTTCTCAGGGCTCATGATTCTACCTTCTAGGGGAAAAACAGCTTGTGAGTAAAGCAGAATATACAGATAACTAAGAAATGAGAAATGGAGAGACAAGGATGAGGTGGAGGGGGGGGAATTAAAAGGGGGGGAAGAATTAGATTCTCATCTACATCCCTACTGATGTTTGAGTCCATTTCCAGCTTAACCTAGCCTTTGCCAAGGGCCAAGGAACCAATCTCCCATCTCTGTCTCTGTCTGTCTTTCAACATTTCAACAAGCTGATTTTTTGGTCACTTAAAACTAAAAGAGGGGCGGGGAGATAGCTCAGTAGAATAAGCCCTTGCTTGGCAAGCACAACTGAGTTCAATCCCCGGTACCATAAAAAAAACAACAACAAAAACTAAAAGACGGGGCTGGTGAGATGGCTCAGTGGTCTAAAGCACCTACTTAGAACAAGCTTAGCAAATAGGGACCGCGGTTCAATCCCCCAGCACCACATGCCAGCCAGCCCTGCCCCCTGGTGGGCTGAGCTGGCCACACACACACACACACACACAAATAAATAAAATATTAAAAAAAAAAAAACTAAAAGAGATCTACACTAATATACCTCCTACTCTTTGAAAACCAAAACAGTAGACACATGTGTAATAGGATCTAGAATTAACCTAGCCCATAGGCCCACCAAGTGGGAAATGATTAGTTATACCTGCTATGGTTGAATCAATCACTAACATCACATTCACAATCTTGGAATGTGGTAAAATGGGTTGTCCCAAACTTGCTATGGGGAACAAGAACAAGTCAAACTGCACAGTTAGGTCAGGATCAGGATCAAGTAGTCAGCTAATAAGAGAAGGAGGCTGGAGAGATATCTCAGGGGACTGAATGCCTGCTTAGGCCAGCACAAGGACCAGGGTTCAATGCCCCACTGACCCGTCCCCGGCATACTGTGCTGGCCAGACCCAACATGGCACTCGCCTGTAATCCCAGCACTGGGGAGGCTGCAAACAGGAGGATCACTATGAGTCTGAGCTGCATAGTGAGACCCAGTGCCAAATATGTAAAAAAATAAGTGGTAGAGAGCAGTCCAGTTGTGTGTTCTTAGAAAATGGCAATAGATATGGGACAATTCTGAGTCATTAGTTGCCATATGCTAAATATTTAGGGCTGTGACCCCAGATAATATAAACTAATCCAAAGTTTTGCAGGTGAGACTGGTGAGACGGCTCAGTAGAATAACCACTTGCTTGGCAAGCTCAAGGGCCTGAGTTCAATCCCCAGTTCTGCCAAAAAAAAAAAAAAGGAAAATAAAAAAGTTTTGAAGGAAGATCACACAATAGACCACAACAGATCTTTCGGAAAAGAAATTCAGTAGAGTGAACTGTAAAAAGAATAGCCAACAGGCCACGTGTGAGTTTCATTTACTTTGGTAAATGAAATTTTATTGGAATGTAGACAGATTTGCTCATTTTTTTGTAGTTTCCAAGCTATAGTAGTTTCCACAAAGATATTATTGTAACAGAAAATGCTGCCCCACAGCCAGCATACTCCAGTTTCTCAGATGCCCAGGCAGTTGTTCTTGTCGTAGTTCTGGCTGCTTCTGTCTCTTAGAAACAGCTGTTCACTACGATGCACACTGTATAAACCCATCCCCAAGTGAGATGTCATTTGGCCTCTACTCTTCCTGCTTGCCAGAGATCAGAGCCTGATATTTTGGGAATGCTCTCAATCAATGCCCCTCAATGTAAATACACTGGCCTCGAAATCGTGGGTGTCGACTTGGTGTTTCTGCTTGCTGTAGCAGTATGGCCTGTGATGCCTAACAGATTTGTTATCTGCCCCTTTATAGAAACGAAATTTCCAAACTCTAGTTCAGGGAGAAGACAATGATATATAAAATGAGAGAAGTACACTTGGAAAGAAGAGAAGTAAAACTGACAGTCACTGGACAGTGAAGTGAGAGAAAAGGAAGAGAATTTGAAGCTTCTACTTTGGGTGTCTAGGATGGGGGGGTAACAGGAAGAGCACAGAGAGACTGGTAGATCATCTGAATGTGTGTTGTTCTATTCCTTTGAAAAGGCAAGAGTATAGCTCCAGAAATATTGTGTAGGTTAAAATCATAGCTTATAATAAATGATAATAACAGCACATTTATTACAATGACTAAAACTCCTTCCCCTCCTCCTATCACTACTGTTAATGATACAGGGGGAAAAAATGAAACTCCCAACCTGAAAGATACTTGGACGAGTTCATGTTCTCTAAAATCAAAGAACGAATTTTAGGAACAAAACAGAGGTTAAGAATAGAATATTTATTGGGAAAGAAAGCTTCTGTCCAAGAGGGGGACAAAAGGGGAACCCTAGAGTTACCCAGGAAACTGCCTTTTTCAGGGATTTTATAGAGCAAAACTATATGATGAGGCGGGCCTAGGGTGAAAACTACGGGAACTTGCTTAGGTGGGCATGAGGTGGGACAATACTATGGTCAACCAATGAGATTACAAGCACCATTGCTCAAGTAAAATTGATTAAATCGGAATCAAATGGGGAAACAAGTCATGTAGCAAGCCGGCATGAATATAGAACAAGGTGTCTTCCTGTTGGGGTTGAGCTAAATACTCTTTTGGGGCTTTTTTTTTTTTTTTTTAGGGTGATTGATACCTATTTAGAATATCAATCCCTGATACACATCTTTAGGGAAGTATGTGACTGCCTTTTCTTACTCTTTTATCTTGAGAGTCTGGCCCTCAACAACAATTTGGAAGAGTATCTGCCTCTTCCAAATTGTCTTCCATATTGTCCTTGAGGGCCTATCCCTGTCTGACTGCCTATTAAATTTCAATCTCATTTAGCTGCCTACAACATTACTACCTACAGCCTAGCAAGACCTAGCAGGACTGTCCTGCATGCCAGGTGCACACAGGAGACCACACAGGGAAAGAAAGGGGAGAAAGCACTGAGATGGTAGCATAATCCCTGGTCTGGGTAACAAGGCCTGGAATTCTGGAGCTGGTGTGGTGGCATCCCTCCAAAGGTGATCAGATCTGGTAAGCTCTTTAACTCTAAAAAGCAGTGGCTTTGCTCTGTGGAGATAACAAAACTTCAATTTTGAGATTGTTGTATTTGGTTTTTGAAAAAATGAAACAAAGGACATTTTCAGTGTCTTTTTCAGATCTATTTAGAAAAAGCAACTTCCAGAAGCTCTTTTGTGGTAGAACTGCTCCAACAAGGCACTTGTGCCAAGTGATAAATTGATCATTACGCCGTGTATTATTTTAAATGTTATAGGGACACAGTGCAGAGAAGCTGGAGCGTCAAAAGACGACCGCATCTTGACTCTGGAAGTTTCGGGTCCTTCAGACGGGACCCAAGAGTTGACGTGCCTGAACCCTTCATTTTACAGATGAAAGTAAGGTCCACGACTTTCAAATTCTACAGGCATTTTTATAGCCAAACAGTTTGCATCTTGCCAGTAGTGATGCCTTTACAGCCAGCGGGTGCTCGCCCCTAGAAGCCATAAACTGTTTCCAAAAATACCTACAAGAATTGGGGGCCACGTCGAGGACCAAGGAGGGAGCAGGAAGCCCCAGAAAGGAACGTGGCTGTTTTCAGCGTACATATGTGGGAGAGTTGGCGCATACAAATCCGCAGGTGCAGACAGGCCTGTTAACAGCACCCCTCCCCTGTTACCTTGCACACTCCTGTAAACACAGACCTGTCTCCCCCACGCTAGACTTCCTGTTGGGGGTGGATCACTCCAGCCACGCTGATCCTACCTTCGTGGGCGGAGCCCCGGCGGCCGCGGGACACCAAGCCTGCACCTGCAGGAGCTGGGAAGTTGGAGGGTTCGGGAGCTGGGCAGAGGGCGTCAGAGATCACGCATGCTGTGAAAGGGAGAGGAGACCCGCTCACCCCGCAGCACTTCTTACCATAGCTGCCCTCTCAAGCCGATCCTCCGAAGGGCGGACGCGGAGAGCCGGGGTCCGGAACTGGGAGCCAGAGACGCCGCGTCGTCATGGAGACAGGACCACGCACTCCCGCGCAGTGGCGCTTCGATAGGGGGCGGAGCAGGAGCAAGGAGGCGGGACACGCGAGGTGGAGGGGCGGGACTAGAAGGGCGGGGCTGCGGCGAGGACACCCCGGGAGCCGCGGAGGGGGCGGGGCGAGCAGCGGTGGGGCGTCCGGGGGGATCCCACCAGGGCAATAAATCGCTCTGTGCGCACAGGCTTGGTTACGCGGGGAGCTGCCCAAGTGGGGCGTGGGGATTGGAATCTCGGTGTCCATTCCTGATTCTGATTCTAGGGTGTAGAGCGGAAGGGGCTGGCTGTTTTAAGCTTAGGAAGTAATCGGTGTTTTGTGTTGGTAGGGGTTATAGTTTGTAATCCAGATGGACCCCTAAAGCTTCCTGCGTTCAAAAGTGGGTGTGTTGAGAGGTTACTGGATTACAGGGGCGCTGGAGCTGACTTGCTTTTAGAGGGTCCTTCTGGCCGGAAGAGGCGGAGTATCGTGGACTTGACCAGGAATGGCTTATGTCCCTTCCCTGCTGCCCCCTCCGCTCCCTGCCTCTCGGTCACCATGAGGTGAGCAGCTTCCTATCCTCCAATCGCCTCTGCTATGCCGCCCTGCCTTGGAGCCAGCCAAAGCTATGGATTTGAAATTACAAACAAACTTTTCCTCAAGTTGCTGATGTGGGTTATTTTTGTCCCAGCACCAGGAAGGTGACTAAAATCTGAGGGATGGATGTCCCCGGCTGTAGATGAACAAATGTCCCTTGAAGAGCATGGTTCCCCAAGTTGTGGTCGCCTCAAGATTATGGGTTTCCCAGGAGCCTCTGCGAGCCAGTTCTCCCAGAAATCTCTTCCAAATGATAACAACCAGAGGCTCAACTTTCCTACTAGTCTGGTCCAAATTCCAGGTTCCTATCCTAGAGCGCCGGAAGATAGCCTTGCTTTAAAAATTGCTTTAGTTACAAAAGAGGATAGGGAGAGTGTTTGTGTTAGAAAATTCTAACTTTCCCCCAAAAGTTTGTTCTTGGAAAGAAGCCCAATTTGGGATTCAAAAAGTAGGTTTATTTGTTGCTAGGCAATGCGTTTTGCAAGAAGGCCTTTGTTGGGGTTAAATCTGGGTCAGAATTTCACATAGTAGCCATATACTAGGTGGTAGGTTCTGGCCCTAGTATGAATGGCTGAGTTATTATGGTGGTCATTTAACATGGCTAAAGCCCTTAAAACAACAGTTTATCTTCTCAATGACCATGTCCCTCTTCTTCCCCAACCCAGTCCTAGATACAGTTTCCTCTCATCTTTCGGCACACACATGAGAGGCCCCAACCAGCTCTTTAGATGTCATTAAATCTGCCCCTCAAACCCCGCCCATACCAGGAGGCCATTAAAGTCTCAGCTTTCTTTGTCTCAGGTCAGAGGATCCTCCCCATCTTCTCTCTCTCTCTCTCTCTCTCTCTCTCTCTCTTTGGCAGAACCGGGGATTGAACTCAGATCCTTGCATTTGCCAGTCTAGCGCTTATCCTACTGAGCCATCTCCCCGGCTCTCCCCATCTTCTCAGTCCCGTCTTTAGGGTTAATGAAGACTTTTTTTTTATCTTTCTTATCTCTTTACTGTGCTGCCCCCCCCCCAAAAAAAAACTAACACTAATTATAATCACTATTTAACCTGTGGAATTAGGTAAACTCCAGGTATCTTGGTAGATGGTGCTGAACTTCAAATGATAAAACTATGTAAGTTGTGATATGTAGATGGTGCTTAATTATGCAACCATGTATTATTATTATTTTACTCCCTAAGCTTAAGAATATACAGAGATTTAGTTATTTTGAAATTCTCTTGATCTGTACATCTCCTGTGAAATTTTCAACTTTGTGATTGTCTTGAAAATATCTATTGGGGACTTAGTAATAGGAAGCTTTGTGCCAGGCAGAAGATGTAAGTGGTGAAGAGTAACTGTAAAAAAATAAGGTTTGGGTGAACATTATTTTATTTTTTTATTATGAGCATTATTTTAAATAAATGTTTGATGGCATCTTTTATTCCTACACTGAATTCCTAGGACTATGAAAACATAACTTCAAAAGGCATTCTTCAAGCTTCAAAGGCAAACTTAAACTAGAATTCTGAACTGTAAAATATTTACTTTTTGGAAAAGGACCAACTAGGGAATTAATATTTATTTTGTGCAAAGTGTGAACTTACCCAGAAGATGCTTTCTTGTTAGTTGCTGTGAGTCACCAAGGGGTTTTGAAGTGTATTGACTTTGGCTTTGACTTCTAATTCTTTCCAGGATTTGCTGGTTTTCTCAGTAGTGTGAGGTTGTTTGAAGTCTATGCAAATTGCCCCATTTCCTCCTGTCACAGTTAAAATGTTAACTACAGTATTTTATTTTTAGCTTTCTTCTTGTAAACATGCAGCTTTCCTACATTTGTTTCATTTATCTCCTGGTATAAAGCATTTTGTATCTGTACATTTACTAACCTGTAGGCAAATGTCTTTCTTTTAAACCCAAGCTATAATACAGAGTCCTAGAATGGATTCATCAAGGTCCTGCGGTTAATTCTGGCCAAGAATCACATAATTAACTAGGGCATTTAGGGAATTTAATACAGGAATCATTTCTTTAAAGCAGTTACCATCCCACAACACACATGTGTGGGTGTACACAGAGGCATACCCCCACTATTCATTGATAAGTACATTTTTATGGAGCAGATCAAACCATATGAAAGTTCCATTTGTAGATTAGAAATGATCAAATAATGAGCAACTTCATGTGATTGTCTATAAAAGTACTTTACAAGTTGGTTTGTTCTTTTCTCGCCTTTCTCCAAATATTGAGCTTCCTGATTATCATAGGAAAGGATTTCTTTTTATTGTTGCCCAACAATGTGTGTGTTTGGCTTTCATAAATATTTGAACCAGTCAGGGGAGGCGCAAAATGTTTGTTATTTTGGAGACAGTAGAGGGAGCTTAGAGCTAAAACATTGTTATTGTAGGCATGAAAATAATGATTGTTTTCCAATTCTTGATGTGTGGATGAATTTAAATATCAGTATGTGTGTAGCAGTAATTTTTTTTTAAGATTCATTGTGCTTAAAAAATCATTTTAATTAAATGAGAAGAAGATTGGTTGCCTTAAGGGCAGAAACTTCATCAGATTCTAGCTAGAACCTCTGAGTAACACGAGACAGCACATTTCCACACAGACACATTTGAGTTTTACAGTTTGTGCTTCTCAACTCTTAATGTTGCCCAAGCTTTTGCATAAAAGTGTCTCAGTTACTCTTCTCTCATTGCTGGGACAAATACCCAACACCCAAAATGCAGGGAAGAAAGGTTTATTTAGCTCTCAGTTACTGGAGGTTTCAATCTATACTCAGCTGACTCACAAGCAGAGTGGCACAGGCAGAGGGCAGCAGTTTATGGCAGCAGAAAACAGTGAAGAGCAAAGGGAAGGGCAGCAGCTGGGGTGTCTAGCCAGACTCTCTATCACCTTATATTATGAACAACCTACGTTGGGGCTGGAGGTGTAGAACTCACACAGTGTCCATGTCCTCCTCATGCTCAGGATGAGGATGTTTACTAACTAAGAATCCTGGCTCTCTGCTAAGTCACTTAATTAAACTTCTAAGCTTCTCAAGTTGACACTATGTATCAACCGGTACAATGAGCATCATAGAATAATTCTCTATTTTTCAGAACCCCAGACTATGTTACTATTTCCAATTGCATCAGTTTACAGTCTTTGTGGTTGATGGCTTCCTTCAAGCCTGCACTGAGGCCCTTTGATCCTGCTTCAGCTCACATTCTTCTAGAAAGGTATCTAATAAATGAATACCTTTCACAGACCAGGGATGGTTTTTAGCCTTAATTAAAGATGTCTCTCACTGACCCTGTCCACAACCATCTTTATCTTCCCTCCAGTCTTTTGCTAATTGCCACTGGCTCTGAGGTTATGAAGGGTTCCTAGATGGTGTAGCCTATTTTTCACTCTAGCTAGTCCAGGGAAGACTCCAGTTCTTAAAGTAACACTAATTTCTACACCTAGAACTAAGATGGAGCAGAAAAGGAGAGAGTGAAAGAGGAAGAAGCAGAGTAGAAACAGCTCTAGAGATAGAGAATGATCTTTCTAAAGAAAATGAGGGCAGTTCTTGTGGACAAGGGTCACCAGAGCACAGCCTCTTAACTGGTACACAGAGGTGATTCTCTATGGAGGATGATTATGCTACTAATTGTAAAGCTACCATATTCAGAGTTGATCAACTTTTCCACTGATATATGAATATGCCCTTTACTACAATCCAGACAACTGTACCATCATACTGCTCATTTCTTTTATTTGAAAAAAAAAGACTCTGATGTTTTATTATTTCTAAACACTGTTCTACTTTCTACTATATTGTGTTTAAATCTGAAGTTTTTACAATTTTCAGTGGAATTATATGTAGTCTATAATCTCTTTCGTATGCCTTTTGTTTTTACTCAGCATCATTTTAGATTTATTGATATTACATGTATCTGCAGTTCACTCCCTTTAATTGGCAAGTAATATTTTAATAATGCATGCATATGTCACAATTTATTTACCTGGTTGGAGACATTTCGGTTGTTTCTAATTTACTTCTCCCTGGGCTCAAGCATAAACAATTTTTTCTTAAGTACAAGTGGTGGTGGGGCCGGGGAGATAGCTCAGTAGAATCAGTACTTGCCTGGAAAGGTCAAGGGCCTGAGTTCAATCCCTGGTAAAAGTATAAGTGATACTTATAGGGCTTGCTTTTTTTTTTTTTTTTCTTTCTACTCTTTCAGAAATCACTTTCTTTTGTTGTTAGCTATCTAGTATCTTGAGAACTCTGGATTCATTGAAAATTTTTCTTTTAAAGTTTTTTTCAGATTAGAATGTGAGTCTGCTATTATTTCATCTATGCTAGAAACAGAATTTCTATTGTTTTACTCTTTTAAAATTGTAAATGCTAACTCATTGATTGTACAAAATGATGGATTTCACAGTGCCA